ACCGCACTGATGTTCACCACTAACGAACCAATTGCTAGCACATCTGTATCGTGGAAACAAAGGCACATGGTGGTTTATTTCCGTCAGAACTTCAACAACTGTTTAAACAGTTGTTACGTAAAAACTTCCATCAGGCGGCATGGGGAGATTTTGACAAAAGCAAGAGAGTCGGAAGCTAATCACACATTGATTCGGTGCAAGTCCAATTTTCCCTGTTGAAATACATAAGAAAGAAGGCACCACATGTGAAGAGGGACATATCGCGGCTTCCGGAGCAAAAATGAGAAGTGGTGATTTGAAAAATAAAGTCAAGCCGGTTAGGCTTACGAAGACATGACCCATTAAAATAGCAAGGAGCTCGCAAAAGCTAAAGAAAAAATTGCGGTACTGTAATGAGTATAAGAAAGCATTTTAAAGCGGTACTTTTGCCAAAAGGAGAAAATGTTCAGGTATTTGTGAAGGTTCAGAGGAGTATATAACTGCTGGGTCTGAAAATGCCTCCGCGCATACTGCTGGTATCAATCCTCTGCGATTTCTGTACCAGGGTAAAAATTCGCTGGGTTGGCGGGCACACATATCAGACATAACTCAATCAGAAACGTCTGGAACTTCAAAACAAGATGAGTATGTAAATTTTATCGCATTCTTTCACCAGAGTGTGAGTGAACGCGAGAAGCACGGAGTAATGCAGAAATTAATCTGACCCTTTCTGGTGAATTCAGTGAAATGAATTTCAAAACGGCGTATTTTAACGATCGGATTAGAGGAATTTTTTCTTCTTGGAAAATGGTCCTTAATATACCATACTAATTTTGGTCTTCACAGAATATGTTGTATTTAAATGTGCAATACGCGCATTTAGTCGTGCACTCTTGTCTATTTATTTTTTCTTACTAGGCTTGCATCCGGTTTGAGATAAATAGTTAGTGACTTTAATCACATCGTGTCAACTGTAGTCTATGAACTCACTTCTATCCTGATCAGTTGAATGTTGCGTCTTGTTCAGCCTCAGTGGGTTGTCTGCCGTATACGGATATAGGCATCAACCCTGTCCTACAAATTGTTAAAATGGCACTTATAGCAAAAGTATCTATCGCCTGGTTGATGACATCCATCTCACACAACTATCACAATCCTATGAAAACCACTTCGGCAAATCAGCAATAAAACTAATAGAAATAATGGTAATAACAACTATTCTTTGGGGTCAGGTCACAGAACACATATGTTCAGCCTGATCTAGTTAGGAAGAATAATTTGTGGTTCTTGTCCAAGCCCAATGCATCAAGCAGTGCTAAGCGAAAGCAAAAGCGCTTCATACTCACCTCATCCCAGCAAGTGTTGTTCATTCACATACGTTTCAAAATAGGATGCTGTTTTGTTTGCTGGGCTAGACAAATTATTTGAAAAACTTCAATCGCCGGTCACGGCTGTCTGATCACCACAAATTCAAAAGGGGGCTTACAAGTGAGACAGTTATATGGCATTGAGTAGTGGTATTTGGGTGAGACTCAGACTGACGTTTGATTTGTGGAACGGTGCTACTACTTGGTCTATTATCATGTGTTTTGCTTTGTCGATGATGTGTTGGCCTTCAGTGCAGACTCTTCTGCTCTCACCCAGTGTAAAACACAGAGTGCTTGCAACTATGCAATTCGGCAAAGAGAGTGACGAGAAGCGTTCCGCAAGTTTATGATAATGGTCTCAATAGACTGTGTCGCAAACTGCGAATAGAACCCCCCAGACACCGGATAATAAACCAACAAGTACTCAAAGATTTGAGGAACCAAATGTGAGTGATCCTGCTGAAATTCAGCAAGAAGTATAAATTACAAGCGCACATTACAAAACGAACATGTCAAATCAAACCCCGAACAAGGAGAAATACAAGGTATAAAAGACCCACGGAAGAAAAGAATTCTGATACATTCCGTCAGGCTGTTGACGCAATGAGTGCTGAAGAGACACGGTTGGCAATGAGGTTAAAATTCCCCATAGAAAGTTAGGTTTTTATCCAACACTTTGGGAACCATTCTTTTAGGAAACTGCTGCGCAGTATCGCTATATTCCTGTTAGGTATTATGCTGATCCCCAGTTAGTGAAGCGGAAGATATCATATGCATTGTGGAACAAACCAAATCATTTTTTGTGTGCACTATCTCAAACTCAAGTGTAACTTTGACTCAAGTGCATAGGCAACCAGCAATTGGAAAATGTAAGCTGTCTTGCCAAATTGTTCTGCATTGAGTTTCATTGTCCGGATACTATTTACTATCGCCTTTAATTAGTTTTCATCGGTGGATTTTCTTGCTTTGCTCTCATTGAATTTGTAAGATCAGTGTTATCCATATATCCGCCAGGCATTTAAGTGTAGACGAGATGAGATTTGACGAACCGAGTCATCTGATTTTCATGCTGTGTAAATTAAGCCTAAGGAGTGTTCACATGGATCATACGTCCGGCAACAGTGACGTTGCAGAATGCCCATTTAGCGCCAACATGTTTAGAAAACGTCTACTGCTGAAATTTTCAGGGTTCTGAACGTCGCTATCCTGAATTCCGTCCGAACTTTCCTCCTAAACTGATGGATGACACCTTGTTCCAATAAAAAGTCCCAAAGAACGTAAACAGACTAGCCTATCAAGTCTCCATGGGAAATATCTTAGCACGATTGGTTACGTTCCTCACATACTACTTATAGCAATCGCACAGTGTCGCTCCCCTAATGGAACCCTTGTTTGTCTTCAATTCCTTGGCCTTCTATTACAGTTATTTTCATTGTATTCTTCTGTATACTATCCATTCCATGATATAGTTCATGCACTCCTTAAATTTAGTTGGCCCCCTGGCGAAGACCACACGTGTAAGTGCACACCTTTGTGACGTTAGGAACATTGTATCTGTCATAACTGCATTATTAATGATAGTGGGCTGCCAATAAAAAATCACTCGCCTTGGTGGTTGTAATTAGATATTGGTGTATTGGTGGTGCGTCATCACAGAAGGCTTGCCCTTAGACTTTGTCTGCTCAAAGGAGACCAATAATCAAAACTGGTTTGTAGAATAAATTGTTTCGTGTCGAGTGCGGGTAGAGAATCTATATTCATTTTCGCAACACGCGCATCAGAAATGTACCACTGTTTTACATCAAACGTTCACGGTTATTTTCGGCCCCGCAATTAGTGAGATAGGTTTATTCTGACTCCACACTGGTTGACTAAGCCGCGTCTATTGAAGCATGTTACATGCTCCCAGTCACTGCGATAGTACCATCTGATACATGATGGTACATGAGGCATGATTATATACCACCAGTGGCGGCTACCAAACCTCAACCACTAAGCAATGGACTTCATTTTCTATTTATGTTAAATTTTCTTTATTTTTTTGAATGCAATATGAGCTTGTCAGGTTTTTTGAAACTCGAGGATTTTCTGCTTCACGGGTTGGCCGATAGGACGTCTCACTTGCTGCACCCTGTTCCGTGAGTCAAAGTTGGGAGGTCGTATAGACTGAGGGTGTAAACATGTATGTGAACTTATGCTCGCTGAATACCACAACCCCCCCTGATTACCGCATTGCGAAACATCCACAGGTCTGTGCATTTAAATGTAACAGTTAGTAGATGATCGGAAAGCATCTGAGTCTGGGATGAAAAAACTTTCACCGTAAATATCCTAGAATGGTTGCATCTGATTTGGTGTGAAAACTTGCATGAAGATCTAAAAAACTTGCTTTAACGCCACATAAATTTCAGCTGGAGATATGCATTTTATCACGTATGAGTGAACTTTGTTGGTTATTAGCTCAGCAGCTCATCAGGTTACGGTTCTTTGGGTTATTTCCTCGGGTCATTATCATCTGTCCAAGAAGTTGCTAATTCCAGTATCAAGGTGCTTACCACCAATATTGAGATGAGAATCTGACATGCGCTTTGTCACAGAAATGAATAGCAATCAGCGTCCACTTTTTTCTAGATACCCGCGAAGTTTCATCTTCTGCAATCGAGACACACATCGTATAGACTACCGTAAAACCAAAAATCAGCGGGAAAGGAAACGAAAAAATTTTGAAACACAGACTGTACGTTAATGCATAAACGACCTGGAGAAATACCAGTTTTCTGGTGGCCTTTATCAGCTTGGTGATAGTTCACTTATGAAGACGCCACACTCGCTTTATTCAAAAGGGTTTTTACCTAGGACAACCCTTGTGCAAGAAGCATATGTAACTTATCAGTAGGTTTCACACTGTTCAATCACATATGTGACTTTTGTGATATTGTTTGAGATCAGACACTTTCCGCAAACAACAGCTCTTCTATCGTCCATAAACTTCTGTGATTTTTAAGAGCGTTGTTCTTGTTTATCTTTGGTCTTGGGAACAGATTTTAATTCTCGTCATCAGTATGATAGCCAGACGGATATGGGCTAAACTTCCGCATATTTAAGCCCAAAATACAGTAAAGTGAAAGTATCAGTTCAACTACCGACGAATGGTTGATTTTTGGGGAATTCCTTCACCATTATGTTCATTCTTCTAGACAGCACACTGAAGGCTTGTCTCGTCCGACATCATCATCTGAGCATAGTTTCACAATATTAACCGGTCTTTCTTCACATATAAATAGGGGAATATACACTAATTAAATGAATTCATTTGCTCACATGATCCACTGCTGTTAAAATGAAATAAAACGTGTTTTTGTCGTAACTAATTTCATCCAAAACGTGCTTACACATCCGCTGTTACGTCATCGAATTTAGTTGAAGTCGGTCCTGAAAGAAATTTCATTTTCTATCCACCGTGGGGTTTGCCAAATTGTGTTTAGCAGGAGAGGAGTGTAAAGATTTCCAAATTTTTAGTCATGTCAGCCGACAAATAATACCTCAAAACCTGCATAGCCAGGTGGCTGACTGAAACTACCATGATTATGTACAATTTTCCAGAATCTATTTCTGACTCACAGTTAGATTCTGATGTCTGCATGCATTTTACAGGTTCACCAGCCAAACGATTCCAGTTAAACAGTGCTTCTCCAGTAGTGTACAAGTTACCGAATTGGCAAACGAGCCCGTACCCAGTCACCTGCAATCCAATAGCGCATTCCCACACGGGTGTGCGTTACGATCCCTATTCTCCACTACTCACAATGTCATCGTCTACAACTTCAGATGATCATGCAAAGCGTATGCCGAGGGTTGTAGATCACGTTTGTCAAAGACAGCTTGGACTTATGGAAGTTATTGGGACGAATCAGAGTGATCAATGCAATGGATATCAGAAACTTTCTCCCGCTTGGCGTCAGGATCCACTGGACAGCAGGTGCACTACAATTGAGCAAGATTTGTTCAAAGTAGAACGGGCTGGGTCGGCCGATTGCGCCGGGGTGCATGCAAATCTCAACAATCTAATGCAATCTTCCTTCTACAGTGTCGAAAACCTAAACAAACTGAGTGACATGAACCAGTCAAGACCTGAGACCTACAACGGTTCAGAAAGCAAAACCCGTAGAGAAGAACAGCCGCAGGGTGAGCAATTGGCAAGGAGTAACACGTCAAATGTTTTCAAGCAAAAGCCAACATTAAAATCTAGCCCGTGTTCCCCAAAATTAAGCAATTCAAACGAAATTACTTTTGTTTAGGAAAAACCCCTAAACGGAACATCTAATGCGTCTGAGACTGCTTCGTTTAACTTGTAAATATAAACTTCTTCCTGCGTATTGTTTATTTTGGGCTGGATAGGTTGGCAAGTTTCATCATCAACTGTCGTTGCGTTCTCTTTTGTGGGAGGCAGCTTATGTTAAACCATTCTGTAAGATTTGGAAATACTTTTCTTAAAGTATATTCAATCAAGCTACATGAGTGTAGAGCACTATTTTCGCCTTTTCCGTAGGGCTAATATCTGACCCTCAGATCGAGATCGAATCTCAGTAATACACAATCAGAAGAAAAGGCCAAAGAACCTATGAAATCACTGCAGCTATCAACCAACTTCGTTAAAACGAAAACAGAAAATATGAGTCGTGTCATGACCACTTTCTCCAGAGTAAGGGCAGGTGGAAACAACCGGAACGATAGTATATTTCGAAGTTGAAGAACCACAAGAAAGCTTGTGATAACCAGTCAGCTACGCACTGTAGAGTAAGTTGAACCTTTACGACTCCTCGCAAATTTCGATTATTTGGATGGCTACTTCAGTCGATTTTATTTATAAGTGCAACCTAACTCTACTGCCGGAGGTCGTTGACTCAAATTTCTTTGAAAACCACCAATTCCGTAATAGGAAGTAAACCATACTTAACCTACTGACTGGATTGCGTAACCGTGAACACATCTCTGAGTAATAAAAAAGTTCATCCGATAAACACATATGGCCGTTCGTTCCTAAGAGGATAGTATTTTTGTCAAAGAATCACCCTATAACTTCCAACGCCCTTGAACAAGAAATGTTGTTTTCGTTAGCTTTGAATTCTGGGTTTCCACTAAGTAAACTCCATGTTGCGAATGAGAACTGCTACTGCTCTGGTGTTTTGTTGTGTGCTATGACGTAAATACGGGAGTACTGATAGTGCGCACTGACATGATACTCGCTGATTAGTGTAAGGTTTAGTCAAACCAAGTTTTCCTTCGAATGTGCAGGACCGATTATTTCAACACAAAGGCTAAGTCAGCAAGTAACGAACTCGCTGGGATGTACTGATCTATAATAGTTGTTACTTTGTTAATAAATGTTAGTCTATTAGATTTCCCCAAATACAGATTTCCATCTAGGAAATGATCAACTAAGGTAAGGATATATGTAGGGGTTTTCACAGTTAATTCCTCTCGGATGGGAACTTTTCCTGACGAGATTACTTTCCTAGAGTTTCATTAAGTTAAAAAATAGACCAATATCACATAGTTGACTTTTCTGTTCTCACTGCCTCCCGAGGGCCAACTTTATCAAAAATTGTGGAATTTCAAGTGATTTCTGTTTACCTGCAATGATATAATAAGGTTAAAATCTAGTTTTCTTCCTAATAATTGCCTTCAGTACTTAATTCCGTTATTGCTTCATGGGATTGACTTCCGAAATGTCCGCAAAACTAATAGCCCGGTGACTTCTGCGCAATAATGCAGATGCGATATTCACGATACAACATGAGGTCTAGTTCGTCTAGTTTGTTCAGTATATGATAAGTAGGTTTAGTCACACTGTATGAGCAATCTACACAATATGTCAATCGAATAGTTTCGCAGCTGCATGTTATGGGGCATTACATACGTCTAGGACAACGCTTAAAAGATAGCTTTTTTCCGCACTTATACCATTGGTGTCCGTCTGACTGTTGATCGAATTTTGTTGATATGGTCAACTCTGTTCACTGCGGCTATACTTGCTCCTTTTTATGGTTCATTCGCCAATCTGCTTTACATACAAAACCGAACGAAGGATCAACTCCCGAATAGGTAACAGATTATGTGGTCGCATATCTCTTTACAAATGCGGAGAACCAATAAGAATGTAATGGAATCAAATTGTCCAGACAAAATATGCTCTCTATGAACTCCGTCGGCCCCACATGTTGTGGTTAAGTAACTATCTCAAACCTCGCAGCTCTATCCATTGAAGCGCTTAAGGCCATACGCAGATAGCTTTCTATAAAGATTGCGTATACCCTAAGGTTAACCAATCCAGAACGGCGTGTAGTTCATTTGATATGATTTTTTACTTCTTACTCAGAATATTTTCTACCTACAGTAGCTTTCTCCGTTAGCGGTTCTGAGAGCATTTCAATAAGATATCTTGTCGCCACAGCAATAAGCGAACAAAATATCTCACTGGTTGGACAATTTTCGTTTTAAATTTCCTAACTGTATGCTGAATAAAGTCCAAAGTATTCACTAGAATTTAATCCAATGTTTCATCCCCTTCTGAAGCCGTTCTTCTTTGTCCAGAAGCAGGTTGATTTTAATTCACTTGATGACTTTTTGAAGTCTTCTCGGATTTGTACGTTTTAGGCGATTGTGAATTAGGTGGCCGTCAATAAAATAGCGACGATGAATTTCCATTTTCAGCCGGCTTGAATGGGAATCCTTTGTGACGTAAGTAAGCCTAAACTGTGAACTCGTATACTCAACATTGTTGATAATATTAATGAAGCTGAAGGATTGAAACCTTTGAGGGGAACAGACCAGAAAACACCGATGGTGGGTTACTAGCAAGTTTTCTTTCGTCTTTCCGTAATACCTACGAAGTAATCAGCGTGTGTTTGATAGGATGTTGGCATAAAATGTCAGCAACCAACCACCGGTTTATCATTCTTGGAGCTCATCAAGTGGGCGACGTCTCCGAATTCTCACTAAACTTATTTCGCAACCACGTGCATAATTCCACACAGATGAAGATAGAGTTAACCTGAAAATCAGGCTTGAATCTCTTTCTCAAACATGTTGCACACAGACGGCCTTATGTTCCATCTGTTTCAGTGTTCAATCTAGCAGATAACCCTCCTTGACAGAGTGGAAGAATATCACGACCAAGCGATAGTTCCGTCCATATTCACCAATAAATTTTCAAATGCGGAAAGCAGTATACCGTTCCAACATAGAATATAACTGACTGAATCACGTCTTGTGAGTATCACCACCACCACAGATCAAAGTCTTTGATTGCGCCAACCGGAAATGGTGCTGAAATCAAAGCCTGTGTTATCACCCCTTAGACGCAGGCTGCGAACTCGAGCACTTTAAATTGGTGGTTCCGGAGCATATTTGAGTACAAATGAATATTCCTGACTTCTTAAAACCACCAGCCTGGTCCACCTGGCAACGAAGTAAATCAAAAACCGCTTTGTTATCTGGTGAGAAATATGGAGGGGATACCTTCAAACGATTCGATTTCAAATGTTTTTCTTTGGAAGCGTCAGAAGAAGGTAACAAATATGGTGAAACTGGTCCAGCCACCTTGCTTTGCGACAAGCTTAACTTAAGATCCGGGTGTTCGCTTAATTTTGTCGTGATTTTTTCTGTTGATTATTCAACGAACATAAGCGGAAGCCATGTAAAGAATACCCAAAACTGAGCATTCATTTCCAATTTTTGAATTTAATGAAAGTAAGAATTAGTTGTGCTTTTTAGATGACATCATCCGGGCGAAATAGCTAACCTGTGTGGGCAAAGTATTTCCTTAGACATCTAGCCCAAATTGGGGACACGTTAGGTGCAGTTAAATGCTTTTGAAAAAGCTTGGTGAACGTACTTTTTCAGCAATTTAAGCATAAATTTGTGTGGCATCACAATGATCTTTCAAACTTGGTAGCCAGTAGTCGTGGCGTAGCCTTCAGCGGCAGAGATAGCCTAATCATTCTGGCTATCGGTGATTCATTCGTACATAAAACTGGCCAGATAGAGTTGGCAAGAAATCTAGATCGTTAGGGACATTTTGTGGGTTTAACACTGCAGTTCAGCATGAGAGTAAGTCTCGTTGAAATCCCTTCATCACATTTTCGGCTACATCTATCCGTACACACGAAATTTGGCAGTTGCACGGAGTTTGTAGTTCTCATCACTTCCATGATAGTATTACCCCAAAATCTTCTAGGAGCTGTGGTAGTTAAACAACTTTGAATATTCTTTTCGTCTGTTTCCAGAATTAGTAACTTAAAGAAAAAGTACGAGTAGACATGCGATGCGTTAGAAAGGCACATTATTGCAAGATGACGCACGCCTATATATTGCTTGATTTTTGTTCTGGAGATTTTCGCATGTTTATCAAATTAAGCTGAGGGTAAACCAGTGGATCAGACAGACTGAGCCGTATGAAACAGCTGTCCTCTAGGGGGTTGCCTCCTTAGCGAAAAGTATTTCAAGCTGTTTACTCTTTGACGATGATCAACCGAGCAGCTTCTCATCTATGCTGGATGAAACGGTAAACCAACGCCCCTGTTTTACTTTGCTTATTTTAACCGCTCGGTAGGCATACAGGACAGGTTCCACCCTTGAACTGATGACCTGAAAGGCTCGGTCTTGCATAACCTTTTCTTAGAAATTCGCACCTTCTAAGGGGAAGTCATCATTCTGGCACAAATAACACTCAACCAAAAAGGGTTGTAAATGGCTTTTACCGGATCTCAAAGAAAAAGCGGTTGGGTTGTCTTTTCTAAGGCCACTTGAACTTGGAAAATCCAATCTTCAGTCGGTGTGGTGGCATTTGTTTGCATGACGAACGGGTATGGTTGCCTTGGTTTTCTCGGAGCATTAGTTCAACCTACATATACCTCAGCAAAAGCCTCATGATCTGAGCTGAAGAATGCTTTTCCCTTCGATACAGCAGATTAGCCAGAAGTGCCCTTCCTCGAAGGGCACCGTTTCTTAGGTTAATATCGTGACAAAAATGTCTTTGTATTCGGAAAAACTTCTCAAGCACCTGTCGGCCAGACACATTCACTACCGTTTGTTTCCCTTTCAAAATATACTCATGCCACTGCTTAGTCAGCCCAAAAGTAAGTTACTGCAACTTATATTTGATTAGAAACCCAGCTCCGTAGATGCACACTATTATCCGCTGTAAATTTAGCTTCTGTGGACTTTGATTCGGCGTTTCACATGTTCTATCGATCAAAGGCTGTGATTCGTGACCCATTCCTGTCGATAGATAGGTGCAAACGATCGGAAAGGTTCGTATATTTTTGTGTCCAGTGATACTTCGTGCCCCAAAACACTCTATCTCGGG